TTGCCACCTGCTGTACAGCTCAGGGTAGAATTAACCACACCACATGTCTGGAAAGATGGAATCAAAGCAGAAAAGAAACCCAATCTCCTAACCAGATGCTCTTATTCGTTAGGAATTCCTATCTTATGTATGTATTAGGGTGTTAAGCAGCTGGGCAATATAGCACAGCGTAGCATGCATATAGTGCTTTAATGCATTAAAAGCAAATCACATTTACTATTTCTGGCTTCCAACAACCATGAAAGGTAGGTCACTAATTTTATCACAGTCTTGGCAATGTGGTGGTGGTGGGGAGTGTATGAGAACTCATTTTTTAAAACACATTTGTACCACATTTTAAAAAACATATTTGTACCCCACTCAACGGACCCAAAAACATAAGCATCAGCAATACGCAATCCAGCAATATGCAAAAATAATATGCCATTAAAATGCACACTTCAAAAAATATGCACACTCTTAAAACCCAGTACAATTAGAAATGTAGACAAATCTGCCCAAACAGTTTACCCCTCTGGAATAAAAGTAACGGGTTGCCTAAGTCTACTCAAGTTAAATTTTGAACATGGGATTTCCCATCTGCTATGGATTGGGAAGCCCCTGAATGGATTCTCACCTCTCCCATGAACTTACTGTATTGGCCATAGGAAAGACACTTATTCAACCTGTGGCCTGCCTCTGCAATATGAGGATATCACTATTGATTGCATTACAAGGGTTCTTGTATATAAAACACTTCCAACTGTTTCAAATGCTATGTAGATGGTGATGATGATGATTAATAATGATGATGATGATGTAACTGCTACATCAGCCATGGCGATCTCATGCCAGCTGGCTGCATACAATAACATACCATTAAGCTAGCCTTGAAGTTGCTGCTCCGTAGTTTTAATTGACTGACTTGCTCATGCATGCCTACGTAGTTTTAATTGACTGACTTGCTCATGCAAGTCATTATGGACTAAACCAAAAGAAGTCATTATGGACTAAACCAAACACGAGGGAGGGAGGAGAAATGTTTCCTGCCTGGTCACCTTAAGGCAAGCATTCTTCACCACAGGTGATCATGCTGGTAATGTTGCATTCAATATATTCAACAGTGAATTGGTTTGGCCTTGCACCGAGATGTCTTTGTTTCTGAATGTACAGTAGATGCTCAATTAAGCTGGTGGTGAATGGTAACACCCATGCAAAGTGCAATGGTGGTTTGGATTTGTATGCTTACAACCACACATCTGCCTTTGTGGAGAAGAGTCCCAAATGTACAGCGACAGTGCAAGGGAAAGTAACAGTGTGAAAAAGAGGCAGGCTTCATGCATCCTTAATCAAAAACAGAATCCTGAGCATGGTGACAGACGATATGTCACTGGCTGCCTGTGGGCTGGCAACAGCATGTATACAATGTTCAGGCAGTTTCCATGCACTCAACCAAAGCCCTCTAGCCACTGGTGGCTGGAAAACTGGGCCTCCTAAAGGGCATGAGGAAGACTTGCTAGAACAGACCGAGGTTCGTCTAGTCCACCAGCATGTTTCTCACAGTGACCACCCAGATATTTCTGGGAACCCCACAGGCGAAGCAGGAAAGCCCAAAGCCCTCTTACCATGTCCCCACTGAGCATCTTGGATTTAAAGGTATACTGGCTCTGAACAGGGTAGTTCAATTGTTGGCTATCATGGCTAATGCTAAATAATAAGCATTTATTATACAATACATATGTTATGTACAGTATGTAATGTATAGTCCCTCTCTGTGTATTGCATACCATATGTTAACACAGTATCCCTTCCAATGACACGTGAGATAGGCCAGTAACATTCCTGTATTACAGACTTGAACCTAAGGCTGAGGAATGCTGGATTGCCTGCAGCTACCTAGTAAGTGCATGACAGAGATGAGAATTGAACCAGGGACCTCTTGGGTCATAGGTCATTGCTTGGCCCCTGTTGCAACCAGTGTTCCCTCTAAGCTGAGTTAGTGTGAGCTAGCTCACAGTTTTTCGGCCTCCATCTCACACATTTTTGTCTTAGCTCAGGAAGGATGGCTCCACAGCAGACTAGTTTATGCAGTAACCAAATCGCTCATGCACAACTTTTAATGCTAGTAAGTAAAATTTTTGCTCACAAGACTCCGTATCTTAGAGGGAGCATTGGTTGCAACACCTTCCTGAGTTCTTTCAAGGTGCACCCTTCGTTTTGGGAATTTTTAAATTAAATTTTGGTCCCATCCATCTGTGGAACTCAGGGTGGTGTACATGACTGCCTTGTTGCACCCTTACAGCCAGCCCTGCGAAGGAGGTATAGGCTGAGAGAGTGG